TATCTATCTATCCTTCCATCTATCTAAGATCCTGTAACATACTTTGTCTGCGTAATGAAACCTTGATTGGGAAAGTAAAGCAATCGTTTTCAACTAAAACTTACTTTGGAATATGCGAAGCTACCAAAATGCTGGGCTCTTCCCCAAAAATTTCGTTTTAATTCCAGTGATCAAAGCCACAGTCAACAGTAAATGAACAATCTAATTTATATAAGCAGGTAATAAAATTGGGTTTTCGAAAACTAATAAAGAGTTTTGCGTCATTGAACAGTCGGTGGTTTGGAAGGATCTTTTGTCATTTATGTTTGAGGAAACAACAAAATCTGTTTTGTTCTGGAAAGGGTTGATATTTGATTAAGCGCATTGATATTTAGATTTTAATGTCAAAATTAATTCATAATATACTTAGTCTATGTAATGATTTGCGTGGGAACTGACCGGCGGAAAAACTATGCAAGGTATGAAATAGAGAGAGCCGATCAGACGGTCGAAAAAAAGGGAGATCATATGACAATCAATAATAAATGCCAGGCTTTTGTAGCTAAAAGAAAGAAATGGATTGGTGCGCAATTAGTCTTATTAAGTCTTGTGGTGAAGTTTAGAAAACAATGCAAGTTAGAACCGCGTTGTTAATCCCAAGGTCTTCTTAAAAGGTAATCGCGTTGTTTCTTCTTTACAGTAATTTTCAAAATTATATTTTACTCGCTGAGAATAAGCGAACATCGTCGAGAACTTTTCGAAATGAAGCAACTTTTGGCGTTTGGAGCAGCTTTTTACGGCTCCAGCAGCCTCGAGCAGAACTTTAATTTATGCGGATTTCTTGAATGTTTATCGAAGGTTCGAACATATGTATAGGTAATCGCATGGGGCCGAGTAAAATTAAAATTGATATCACGCGTCTAGCTGTTTTTCTTCGTTCGATTCACCTAATAAACTTGGATGTATATTACAGACGGCCATCGAGTGTCGTCCATGTTGATAACTGATCCACCCTGTGTGGCCTACAAGGACTATGCGCAGTTTATAAATTTACGACAAAGTGAAAAAAAAAAAACAAAGAAGATTAAACATAGACTTTGTAATATGACACTGAATCTAACTACACAATATATCAAATTGTCGCAATTAGTATAGGTAATCGCATGGGGCTGAGTAAAATTTAGGCTTAATATCTCGCGTGTTTTTGGAAGTTGCTGAAATTGCCCGAGTCGCGCAGTGACGAGTGAAATTTCTGCAACTTCCGCAAACACAAGTGATATTAATCCTTAATTTTACGAAGAACCATGCGATTACTTGTTTATAATATAAGGGGCAAAATGTTTTCTTACTGATCTCGCACAAATCGGGACGACATTGTTACAAAACAAACAGAAATATCTTTACCTTGGCAGCCGTTGCTAAGCGATTTTCAGCCAATCATTTTCAAGTAATTTTTCCTGGGGCAATTTCAAAAATTAAGAAAAAAATGCCCTCTGTCTTGACCAATCACAATTCAGTAATTTTTTCTCTTATATCTTAAGAGAGGAAAAGGCTACTTTGAACAGGGAAGCTGGTTTTGTTATCGATGGACCGTGAGATTATAATTCCGGATGGCAATGAAAGGAAGGGAACATACATGATATCATCTATAGCAAGGTTTTCATAGCTCTGGATTTAAAATCACGATTGAAGTAGTAAGAGTGGATGCCGACCTGAGATTGGTGCAGGAGTTTCTTTCATCCACTGGCGAAGTGTTTCGCTTACTCTCTTGAAAACAACTGAATGACATGCCAGATTGGAATAGAACAGAAGGAAACTTGTGCCAGCCATTCTTCTACCTCAAAGGCAGAATTCCCAAATTACGCCATAATTGAGGAGAAAAAGAACTGCCTCTTCTCATGAAAGTCAACTCTTTGACTCCCCTTCATGTGCAATTCGAAGAAACTTTCAAGCAAGCAGGTAACGAGAATGACAAAGATGATCAATTAGAGATCATGAATCTCGGGAGGACTGAACAACAAATTGAAGATATGAGTGAAGGGAATAAACCTTCAGGTCTTTCATTGAAAGTTCAACTTGTCAAATGATATCCTACAACTTAAACAGTATAGCGTCACGTTAAGAACGGAAGGGAAAAAAGCAACCAGGAGCTAGCATTTAAGAGGGAGAGAAAATCGACGTTAATCACTAGTTATTGCATTTGGGTGGATTGAAACCAAAAAAAATGGATTAATTGATATGCTCGAAAACCGTACATGCAGCGTTTGCCTTTACACTCTTGAGATAAAAACTTATTCGAAGCAGAAGGCTAAACGTGTAAACAAAAACAAAGGCCGCTTTAGACTTGTTGATTAGCCCGCAGATGTTTGCTAATACCTTAGTGGGAAGTTTTGAGAAATTAAAATCAAGAGCGTTTTTTCATGTTGTCTTCTTTCGCGTAAGTCGATAGTTTTTTCCCATTTCTTCACAAAAAAGTGGGTCGATGCTGATGGGTATGAAAAGCAATGATAGGAATGATAACAAAAGCTCCTTAGCGTATCATCTGTTAAGATAACAATAACAAACCTCTCAAGCTAGCGTGGAAAATCATCAAACAATGCAAACCGTACAACAACATTACTAAGAAATGTAATTTATGTCTTTTTGAAAAATTCACGATCATCTGAAAAAGGAACGCAGTCTAAACAAGCGAAACGAGCTAGCAAGCTCATGCCCCCATAGAAACAGATACCTCCTCAAAAACTTCATAATCAAGTAACAATCTCCGAAACTATGCACACCAGTCACACGACTTATATGGATAAGTAGCGTTGTTTATATGGATAAGTACCGTTGTTTATATGGATAAGTAGCGTTATATCTCCAGTAGCAACCATATTCCAGCTTTTACAGCCAGTAATTGTAAGTTAACGGTCAATGGTTGAAATTACCTGATGAGTGTGGTCATTTTCGACCATACGAAACAGAGCTGTCGTAATAAAACGATGAGTTACCTCTGAAGTCTTGAGCCAGTTCGTTATAATTATAGATNCAAAAACTCTACCGAACTTAGCAAACACATCTGGACACTCAAGAACGACAACATTGACTATTCTATCTCATGGCGCATCTTATCATCTAACTCTCCCTACAACAGCTCCAATAAAAGATGCAACCTCTGCCTAAAAGAAAAATTCCTGATAATTTACCGACCCGACCTCTCATCACTAAATAAGCGTAACGAACTCGTATCTTCATGCCGACACAGAAACAAAGCGTTGCTACGCAACAACTGAACTTTAAAGTTTTTAAGTTTACCGCGCATTATGCAAATTTTCCTAGTATATAAACGATAGTCACATGAATATTCTTTCATTAAACCCCTGAAGAGTGAAGCGATTCACGAAACAGGCTTGTCGGGAAATGTAGTTACGTCCTTTTTTCCTCTCATAATATTTATATATATATATATATATATATATATATATATTCATTTATATATATATAAGCCGCAAACATATGCACATGTGTGGTATTGGTAACTAGATCCGGGACCTTCGGAGTAGGTTGACGTGCAGAATAGAACATGGCGATTTTGTATTGACTATGTGTGCGTTACTTTGTGTAGAAATACTGTATTGGCAGCGAGGATAAACGAAGAATTTTGGGAGTAGTCTTCATGGCAGAAAGAGGTCTTCCTTCGCTGGATCTGTCAGGATCTACTTCACAGGTGGCAACCAAATGGCAAAAGTGGGAGCGCGGGTTCTAGTATTATGCTCAAGGGAAAGGTATAAATAGTACCAGAAAGAAAACTTTTCTGCTCTTGCACCTCACAGGTATGGAGGTCCAGGATATTTTTGAAGATCATTATTGTCGACCCAGAATCAGAGGAGATCAAGAACCGTACGCAGTATGTATCAGGAAGCTTGAGTATCCTCTTAAACTCGTGATTCTCTGGAGTATGCGTCTTTAATGCGTGCTTGAAGAAGACATTTAGACACCGGCAATGATGACGAACCACACATTATTCTCATTCTTGAGATAAGAAACTAAAACCGTGCTTTAATTCTAGAATACGACGACTGATAATGGTGAATTGTTCTCGTATTCTATATCCTGATTGCCGATACGAAGGCTGAAGCGAATTAAGATCTGAGTATTTCTATTTCGAGTTAAGATACCGTTTGGAGAGTATCAGAAGCCGATATAAATCATATCACTTTTTGTAAGTGCTGGTATGGTTTTAATTAAACAAGATATTGCAGAAAATTGACTTGTTTTGAAGTTTCCTAATCAAGCAGGTAAATGCTTTCACAAAGTTTTACTGATCATCTCTTGCAAGGCGAAGAAATTTTTGTCTAAACACGCGGACAAACTAACATTTTCACCTTGCAAGTTAATAACTAGCTAGTGATTTTTATTGGCGGTCTTAATATCTCGGAGATACTTAGTTAGACAGTGTAATTTTTATATTTGGATAAACTGAAGACAATATCCCAAAAGAATCAAATAATTTTTTCGACGACGCAGCCGGAGTTTCAATGCAATGCGGACGAAAGCCGCGTGACGGAAGTCACAACATTTAATATATTTCTCCCGGAAATTGTACGAGCTCAAAAAATATGTCAACTAAACATCAATGTTATTTCTGGATTAGCTTCACATTTCTAAAGTGCAAACATCTGATAGCAAGTTAAGAGGTTTGAGAGAAATATTCCGCAGTGTAAACTCTGGGAAAGTTTTTGACTGCCGAGCGTCTGGTCCATTTAAGACCGTTACTGGCTAATTTGCACTTGCTTTAAAAATCTGTCTCTGAAGCTGTCCTTTAAAAGTAAGTATTGAGACAGGACAAGAGAAGACTTACCCTCTCTTTTCAATACTTGTCTACTTTGGAATATCCACAAGCCTTTGTAAATTATCTTTCACACATTTTCTTGGTCTTTAAAAGCCGATTTACTCGTGTTTCAGTCTTATCAAGTTAAGCTTGATTTCATGTTTTCTTCCACAAGAATTTCTGTTGAATTGTGGCTATTTTGACATACCTGAAGCAAATGTCGAAACTTCATCATTAAGTGCAGTTTTCGCTCAGATCATCGTGAAACGTTAACGACAAACGTAAAAGATGCCGGAAATGCCAACGTTACTGCTTCTCCAACCCTAAAATAAGAAGAAAAACAGGTGGAAAAATTGAAAAGTCACTAAACTGACCAACTCTGAGTTAAAACAGTGTAAATTTCATAAAGCTGACTCGACAAACTCACCTGACGGAAGAAAATAGTTTGATAAGAAACTTTTATAACAATTTAAAGCTTCAGTCTTGCTCGGAAAATGAAATGTGCTCGGGCATGCCTGAATGTCATTGAATGTCGAGAGATCCGTTGCGTTTGTGATAGAAAGAGGCCGACCATTTTACTTTTGAGAGGGAAGGGTGGATGATTGTGGAAAAAAAATTTCCTGCAAGCGCTTGTTGGAAGAAAAAAATTGCATGCAGCCCAAATGTAACAGAAAAAAAAGAGCATTTAGACCGGGAAAAATATCCTGCACAGCAGATTACTAGAAAAAAAAAAATCTTCATGACCAGAAATCACCCACCCAACCCCCCTCAAAAGTTAAATGATCGGCCCCTAATAGACCTTTTTAGTTTCATGCGTCATGGATTGGTCACATGGTCTGAAAAATAACAAATAACAGTCGCGGCTGTGGTAACCTAACAGCCAACAAAAGTTAGCGAATGGTTCACTTTCGTTGCACAATATTTCTACGAATTCGGATTTGTCTTTTCATAAATAATGTGAGGACTTATAGCTTCAGAATTTAAGTATTCATGCTATATTTGTTCAATTTCTAGTCACACGAATACGTGTTTTAATTTGCATGAGTGAATGGTCAGACACAAGGGGAAAATAATTTTGTCTCATCTCGATTTCTAATTATCACGGTTGTCTTCAGTTATTTATTTACTTTTATTAACAGATGTGGACTTTTAGAATAAGGTAAAATCGAAGTACAGACTTAAGAGGGACATCTGGTACCGAAGTGTGCTCTGAACATTTCGAAGACAGCCGAATTAGGTAATACTTCAGTCATTTAAGCGTTGATTCATCCGTGAATAAAAATATTTTGGCAAGAGAAAAAGGATTTTCGTCCATAGGATGTCGTTCTGCGGCACATACTTGAGTAGCTATTTCGAATTCTTGTTTATCCATTTCAAACCTCGTGAAACAGAGCTAAATAGGTCTCGTTCGTTATGTGGTAATGAGTTTCTCGACGTCAGCTAATTGCCAATGAGAAGAACAATTAAGAACAATTCTTAACATTTATTCAAATGCATCTTCACCACTGTATTTTCCTAATGAAAATTCCCAATTAAACGACGCTGCGAAGGGTAGTGATTTTAGTCGGGTGGTGGTGATTGTAAAGTCACAAAAATCAACAAAATATATCATTTGTGTAATGTTCTCGTGACTTAGCCTGTTTGGGCACGCTGGACACGCACGAGTGATTCACGTTGAAATGTACTAGACCGTAGTTACGTAAGAAAGAGCCAGAAGCATCCTGTGGAGCCAAAAGGTCACACGCATATGTAGTGCTGGTGAATGAACTTGCCTTTTTT